CTAGCATCCCACTTCCCTCACCAGACAGTGAAGGTGTTGAGCCTTCACTATTTCTACCCCAGCAGGTGGTATTAAGTGTCTTAGTGCCTCAGAATATGTCTAATTCTCTTTTAAAGTTATCTAAGTCAGTAGTGAGTCCTACATCTTGTGTCAGTGAGTTCTTCTATAAATCATGTACTATCTTGAAGTGCTTTCTTCTTCTCTGGTTCAGTATCAGTGGGTGGCTTTGAGTTCTACTACTTATAGGGGTGGGAGAAAAACATTTTTCTCCACAGTATACTCTAAAAAACTCGTATTGTGTTTTCATGTCTCCCCCACCAACTTTTCAAACTAATTCTATTCAGAGATAAGCCCTGTTGAGTTCAGTGGGACTTCCTCCCAGATGAATTGGTTCAAATATTTTAGCACTGCATAATATGAAGAACAGCTAGGGGAATAACTTATATACACATTTTGCCTTTATTATCTCATTCTCTTTGTAAAAATACTGTTGATTATTTCCATGAGTGGATGTGTTAGTATTAGACTAACCTACCTGCAGTTTCACTGAACTCTTACAGCAAAGTTTGGATAGAAGGGCTGGAGAAATCCCAGATCTCTGATTGCACTGGGATTTAAAAATATGCTGTTGGCAATAACACCTATACATGTTACACTTTTTCCTAGACCTGTCCTTGGCTGGCACATCCTTTCCCTACCCCATAATACTGCAATACAAGAACCATAAATATTTTTCAGCCATGCTGGAGAATTACAATGTTTAAGAGTTCTTGTTTTTTGTGAAAATAATATAAAGGTGCTGGGATTAATATTGCACTCTGAATACAGCATGTTTGGACTTTCTGCTTTTGCTAAAGTCACTGAACACGTTGTCAGTTGGTCGCTTATGGCTGTAAAACTAGTTTTTAAATTGTGGTACAAACTTGGTGAAATCTCAGAAACTGGAGGGATATGCAAGCAGAACTTTTGGTGTTGGTGGCAAGTGATTTTATACCTTGCATTGCATTTTCTCCCTTTCCTAAATTTCAGGAAGAATAAATTTGATAAAAGAAGCAACTAGAAAATTTGCTTTATCCATGCAGGGTGCAGAATGGTTTACTTTTGCTGCAGAATTTTACTTAATGCCAAGTGTTCCTGGTGCTTCATACATTATTCCATCTGGCTTTCTGCACCTGCATTCTAGGGATGGAAGGGTAGAGGCTAGACGTATATTACTTAAACTGAATTACTGATAACTTTATGCATAGGTGAATGCACCTGGTCTGTTCTTTGCAGCTTCTGCTTAAATAGCAGTCTCTATCCAAAGGCATTGTGTTGCTCCTACCCCATCTTAGAAGAAGCACTTCTAAGTGCTGCTTACTGGAAGTGTTTCCCATCTCTGTGATTCTCTGCAAAGGTGAATATGTGATACTGGATGTAGAGATACTTCGTTTCTCTACATCCCCTCCTCCTGTCCTCAACAGTTGTGTAGAATCCATTTTACTTTGGGGAGCAGAAAATGTTGCATTCGCATCAATCATGAGCAGACCAGGTGATGTGGTACTGAATTGGGAAGTGGGGGCACTGTACATAGCAATGCTGGTTCTATAGAGACAGCTCCTACATTCTCCCCTCAGTTTTCATGAAAGTTGGTAATCACAGCAGGGTCCCAGAAGACATGCTGGAGAGTTCCTTGTGAGGTGCTTTTTTCCTCTTCTGCTACGATGCAAAGCCCTTTACTGGGTTTCCC